ACAAGGTCAAGAGTGTGATTAAAACAATGAGTTGGGTTTATTTACACTCTGACAGAAGCAAATTGAGTCTATTAATGATATAAATGCGTTACTAAGGCTGTCATCGTCAACATCCACATGAATATTAAAATCACCTACAATAATTACTTTATCTGATTTAAGGACTAAACTTGATAAAAACTCTGAGAATTCAGATAGAAAATCAGAGTACGGTCCACACTATAACAAACACATACATAATGATGTAAAGTCAACTTAAAGGAAATAAGTCAATCGACAAACTGGCATTATATCAGTAATACTTAAAATACTGTACGAATCTAAGTTCACTAAAACAACATGAACTGTTGAGATATTACTTCAGTTCATTTTGAGTTTAATTCATGGGATTGACTCCACATTTTTTGGAGGATTAAGTTATCTGAACTTCTTTTATTAGGATATGCTGTTTTACAGTGCATCTGTACCATATGGAGTTGTATAGCATCATATTGTTTTGTATCACGTCAAATCACATTATGTTTAATTAAACTGTGTTGAATCATACTGATTTGGAAGTTGCTTCATATGTATCTTTATTGATCTTAAATGTACTAAGAGTGTATATGCCTGTATCCCCGTTAGCTGAACCCTTACACTCCAATGACACAGACTTGGATGACTTGGGCCACATGAAGAGACTGGAAGAGCCCTGTTAAATGTTTAAAAAGAGCCCATGTCCTGGAAGGTAAATCAGTAAAAGTCAGTCATTTATAGAATAGAACTTAATTTATATCTGAATGGAAAAGTCCTATAGAGAGGAGTGCTTCATGCACTTGGCTCTGCTCAGATAGTGCTCAAACATTTCCTCACAAACACACAATGTCATCCTCAACCTTTTGTGCAGCCTCAAAGCAAGGCTCTGGCACACAGCCGTACAACAACAACCCTGAGCACTGCAGACGGCCAGAGGACTCCGGGAGGCTCATCCAAGTAGAATCTCTCCAACCAAGGTTTCTGTGTTTCGTTAGGGATCATTTGTACGATATTTGTCAGCTGAGAGGGTTTCAAAACACAATGTACTCTAGAGTTCTTAACCTGATTTATGTGGATGTGTGTCCAAAGCCGTGCAGAGAGGTCTCCTCATTAACCGCACTCCAATGCCAGATGGATCACTTTACTGCTCTGCGCCGCTTTATTGAATCAAAAAGAAGGAAAAAATCTTGCAGAAGTTATAAGGAGGAGAATGGCTGCATTGTGTGTGTATGTGACTGTGTGTGTGACTAAACCCAATACGCTTTGACACAACATACAGAGGCTTAATTTTCAGTGTTGCATAAAAAGTAGAGAAATGCTCTCAGAGTAATTTGCATTTTTGAAGCAGTTTTTTTCAAACAGTGGAGAGAGTAGAAAATTACCTCGCTCTCTCCATCAAAGCACAGAGAACTCCACAGGAATGCAGTATGAGACCAAAAGTACTCACAGTGCCAACACCTACTAACACTACTTTTAAAATACAAGCTCCCACCCATTTTCCCCCCCTTAAAATGCTAGCTCTCTGCTGATGTGTATGGGTAACATACATTTGTATTTCAAAGTGTCTACTAGAGAATATGAGCATTCACTTTAAAATAAAAAGTAATAGCTCTGGCTGACAAACATAAATTCACTTTCGATTGTTTTTAAAAAAATTTTAGCCTCTTTTGAATCTGACACGTTTGACTTGTCCCACTTGCTACGACCAAGTGAACCTATCATAATGTCACCCACAAATACCAACTATAGCACTAAATGTGGATTAATCCGCCGCTGAAAATAGTCCCCAATAAATGTACTGTTTCCTCCTGTTTAAGAAATGTTTGCCTTTTTGTAAAATGGAACCAAATATTCTTGACTGATTTTTAACCATCTACATGTTCAGAAGGAACCAATCGGCTTGGGGCAAAGAGCCACAGACAGGGTAGGGAAGGCAGACAGCAATTAGAGTCTTTTTTCACACAACAAAAACACCTTTAAGGTCCAAGAAGTTCTAAACAAACACAGTACATCAAAGGATAAATTATGTGGATACATATCAACCAACAGAAAAAATCAATACCCAAAGATGAGCCAAAAAGGTGCAAACGCAACAGACTTCAAGAACATTATTTTACAACTAAATAACTAGTTGCAACAATGTACAACTAGACCTTTATATATCAGCAAAAGTAGGAATTCTGTTCTAGGGTTGGAGTTATAATCTGAGTTTTTAAGATAAGTCATGTCAAGGGCAGAGATAAATAGACTTCACCTAATTACGTGGTCAAACACTTTTACACACATACAGCCCACTAATTGCAACAACTGTATCAAGTAGATACAGACATATGAGACCCATCACTCAAAGGATACGTTCACACTGCTCAAGTCAAATGTATTTAAATCAAATGTGACCAATATCAGAAAAATGGAAAAGAAGGAATACCCATGTAAAGGTTAAAGGGACCTTACCTACAATAACAATAAGGAACATTTGACAGGCTATCAGAGGCCATCGATATCTGAAACTGGAACATGTATGTGTACATATACATATGTGGGTGATATAAAAAGCCTCCTGTTATCTACATGTTGAAGGATTGCTTCAACTATTACAACAGAAGGAAAACAACTATTAATCTAGCACACAATCTCACAGCATCACATTGAGAGACACCTTTTCAGCCCAACTTATAGATCCAAAATGTCCCATCTGTTCAGACCAACCTGCCCCAAGTGAAGGAGGGGGGGATTGTAAAAGTGTCCATAGAAGGGAGCAGGTATTTCCTGTCTCATTCTATATGTCAGTAACTGAATGAATGAATCACACGAACACCTAAGATCCTGTTGGAATGTATCACATTGAAATTAAACTGTATTCTTCTTTTGCTTTTTTCAACAACCCGTCTTGCTGATCTTGTAGCTGCTGCTGTGTGTACATGAAGCACAATGTAGGACAGGCAAAGAACATGTGACAGAGCATTATTAGCCATCGTGTTGGGAAAAACACAGGAAGCGGCACTGCTGACACTTCCTATCTGCAACCTGCTGCGCACTGCCAAGGAGTAACAAGTAGAGCGGGCATCAGGTAGCACGTACAGCTGTAGCTGTAGTGAGCAAGATGAAGATCAGAGAGCCAAACTGTTCCTCAACCTGTGGCTTCTAATCCACTCTGCTGCACTGAGGCAACACCAACTGCTGCTCACACTAACACTAGACACTACACCGGGCTCAAGCCTGTGTGTGCAATATTTCTATGTGCATGTGTACACACTATACTGGGACAGTTGGGTTATCTTTACATACATCGAAAATCTCTCACAAGATCCAGAGATCTGACTTTCATGCTGTTTCCAAGTAGAAAATAATGCTGTCCAGCTTCTGAGAAACTTTCTCATATCCCAGATAAACAGATTTGAGGAGAGAAACAGGCAGTGCAGTAACAGAATCCTGACTCACAGAGAATGACTTGACAATCACAAGATTGTATACTTTGTCACCTGTAGACCACCAAGTGAAAAGTATGTTTTGTACTGTAATATTGTAAAAAAACAGAGTCAATTTCACAATTCAGAGAGTGACTGGGACAGGAGTGGGCAAAACACAAATCATAATAACATTAGGTCAGTTTCTATGTATAAATATGCAGTTCTAAAATTAGCGATTGGTGCCTCTAAGCACACACGGCCACCACTCAGCTCAGAGAATATCTTTGTATTGTTGTCCAAATCGTTTATATTGTATATTATATATTGTCCCACTTCAGAAGTTCTAGTCCTAACATTACTGCGGTCTGTTTTTTTTTTTATCTACCCAACAACCCATTACATTGCCCTCTAAAAACCAGTCCTTCCAGAAAAATGCTTTTTTGTGATTGTTGCAGGCAAAAATCCTTGATTATGCGGCACGTTTTCTTAAAAAAATGCAAATGGCATATGCAGGATATTTATGCAATTTCATGCAATGAAACTTGCAAAAATTGGGAACTTGCAAAAATTGCGGGAACTTGCGGGAACTTGCAAAAACTGCGGTTTGATGAAAAAGAGGAAAAAAAGTGATTCCCCCAACACCCTGTTGTCACTAGGCTACTACCTTAATGTAAAGAGTAATTTCTTATTACTTCCTATGATAAGCAAGCATACTACATCACAGAAAGTGCTGGGAATATTTAAGTTCTCATCTTGTTTTATTTCAGACCTTAATAAACACATGGCTCAAACTTACAAAACATTGATGAGTCAAACAAGTTCTGTAGCTTTACAAAAAGGAATATGCTACAACTTCTGTAAAAATAAAAAAATAAAATGTGTGCTTCCTGTTTTACAGAGGTAGCTATACAAAACAGACATCTTCTGTTAAAGTAAGTGCTTCCAATGCACAAAGTGCAATTTACATACAACTAATATACTTACAACTGTAAGGTTTTTGAAACTAGTATGATTTAACCCACTTGTAACAAAAAAGTGCAATCTTACAACTGTAAAGTTTTATCAACTCCTGAATGAAACTACAACAGTCCACTGTGAAAATGAAAACTATAACTGCGTAGCCTCTAACACTGGCCAATCATTCGCCATCCTCATCCTCCATCCCCTCTCCCTCAACGTCCATCATTATGGCTTCATCGCGGGGTTTGCAGCTTTTCGATGATGTTTGCGTCGCGTAATTACGTCACTTCATAACGTTACCATGGCAACATGGGAAAATGGCTGCTCTTGTGTGAAGTAAACGCAAAATTTTTCAACTTTCTGCTAAGATAAGCATAAATATGCGGACTTTGGCTGATTATGCATTGAATTATGCGATAGCATAATCTCGTTTTTCTGGAGGGACTGAAAAACATGGGATCGGTTTGGGATGGGAGTCATTCTTCTGGGACTGGGATGGGGGAGGACAATTGCACATCAGAGGAGAAGCCCAGGTAGCATCTTAATGTCATTTCAGCTGAAAATATCAGCCTCAGCTATTGCAAACCCAGCAGCGGTAAAGAGTGTGTGACTGACCTGGTCGTCGTATCTGTAGGTCAGGAACTGATCTTCTGTGGCTTCCTCCATGAAGCTGCCCTGAGGGGAGAGGGCGAACTCTGGCAGGAACACTGCACTCTGGGGCTGGCTCTCTGAACACTGACAACACACACACACACACACACACACACACACACACAGTTTCAATGAATCAGCATCCAAGTCCAGAGGAATAATAATATTACATTCAGATCACGATCATGCACCAAATCTGAGAATTCAACACACAGATTTTGGAGTTGGACACTTTGACCCTCTGGCACTGTATCAGGGGTAATAAATCTGATCTCAGTCATTCCCAGGTTAATTCAGTGAGCTATAACCTGGGCCTCATTGGTGTTTTCTAAATGGAGGCTGTGAAATCATCTCCCCAAACAGGCCAGGATCCCTTTCTCTCCGCCCTCTCATCTCACAGGAGCTGGGATATGATGGAACCCTCTGCTGACTCACATTCTGCTCCGTTTGAATACTTTCAACTCATTTCACTGTGATTTATACACAACAGTCAGCAAGCGCATACGTCTAATGCTTGATTTTTGGATGATCAGCATTATCCAAAGGCAAATAATAGGGCATTATTAGGCTAACAGTGACTCAGAGTGTGTTGCACACGGAGACTGGATAGGAATAATTGGCATCTGGCATTTAGAGGGCTCCCCAGACAGAGAGAGACTGTGTCAGTGTGTGTGTGTGTGTCCAGAGAGACGATCTACCATTAAGATTAGTGGGAGTGGTGTCTCCTGTAGGCTTTTAGAGCCACTTAGAGACAGACACAGCAGAAGTGCCACTGGTATGTGTTTCCCTGAGGAGCGTCTGAGCACTGGCACACTTTCACCTCTTCACTCTTTGGTTCTCTCTCTCTTGCTCTAAAATTCAAATGTGCTATACTAACATAGCCACTGCGAGTGGCGCATATAGAGGGGGGCATGGCGTGGCAGCGGCAGCCCCGAAAATCATGCATTGAACACAGTCAAATGGATGGACGCTGTTTCTTTTCATGTGAACAATATTATTTTCACTACACTGTAAAACCTGATGAGTTAGTTCACCTCAAACTGTCCAAACCAATTGCCTTAAAAAGATAAAATTTAACAATTTCAGCATGGAAAAAATATTTGATTTGAGTACAAGTAACTCATTTATTTATAGGTAAATTAGGTTAATTGTACTCAAAACGAGTTAGTATATTACACTCATATGCAGCATTTCTCAAGTTATTTAAAATGTGTTAACAGAATTTGTCTGAATAAAGTAAGACTTAAATGCATATTTTTTTATACAAATGTTACCACAAATTATTATATTTACCTGTCAAAACAGCCATCGTATGATAAAAAACAACTTAACTTAAAGGAGACATATTATGCCCCTTATCAGTTTCATAATTGTATTTTGTGGCTCTACTACAATAGGTTTAGATGTTTTAATGTTCAAAAAACACATCATTTTTCTCATACTGCCTATAGCTGAGCACCGCTTTTCAACCTCTGTCTGAATCGACCGGTTTTAGCTCCTGTCTCTTTAAGGCCCCCCTCCCGAAAAGCCCAGTCTGCTCTGATTGGTCGGCATTATGATATATATATATACACACACACACACCTCTATCTATCACATAATGTTAGTGTTTATACCTTAACTATGAAAACCAACACTGTGTTTTATGCTTGTCTTTACAGGTACAGCAGTGAGCAGTGACCTACAGTCTACACAGCCCACTGAAGTTAAACATATTATATGCCTGCAATACTTTATCCTGTCCAATATGTCAACATAACTGAAGGAATTACTCATCTAATAAAGTAACTTGTTTATGTGGTTTAAAAACTGCTAAGTAACCAACTGTAAACTGTATCCATATTTCATAGTGATGAAATTGATATTTGAACTTGAAAGTATTATTACCAAAGTTAACCTTCAGATATGTGTAAAAGCTGCAATTATGTTTGAACCCCATTAAAAATACTGTATACATACTGAATATTCTATCATTTATATTATATATTATGATGTCATTTATCTTCCAACATAATAAAGTTTGAATGTGAGACAGTAATGTTTTGTGTTACAGGTTTAAATTTCACATTTTCATATTGATAGATGTTACACGAACCAGGTTTTCAACTCTTGTACATGCAGGAAATCTTCATAAAACCTCTGTGAAATAACATGTTATTTATATAAAACCACACTTATTACTGAATTTAAAAATGACCAAAACTCTTCTTAAAAGTAAAACACTTTATTTATGTTTCATTCATATTCCAGTTACACATGTTGCAACCCAGACAGCAAAATGTATTTGGGCCAGATTTGGGCCAGGTCTTCATTAGCATTTGACGCAGATCCGCTGAACGGACCTGGGTGGGGCTCATTCTTTCCAACGGGCCAATACCGGAACAGGTTGGGATTACGGATCAGAGACAGATCTGGGCCAGAACTGGCCCAGTTCAGTAATTAATGCCATGGAATTTGGTGCGGATCTGGCAGATCCGCGACTCCTATTTTACATCTGGGGCTCATCTGGCCCTGGTCTGTGATTCATATTTAGGCAGACAATTAAGACCCAAAAATACACATATAATTTGTAATTTTCAAAATATTTCTTTTTAAATATTTTTAGATTTTTTTTTGTTGATAAACAAAAGTTAAACAGTGTTAAACAGATAAACAGTGATGCGCCCAGACAATCGAGGTAGCATTTGGGCGAGGGGGCGTTGAGGTTTTCTGACAAGTTTCTTGAGTTTTTGTAAGAGGTTCTCACATGGGAAAGCTGATATATTGTCGAGACAACCATAGTGTCTCACATCTTGGGCTAAGTGTATGCACATTGTACACAATTGCCTCCTTGCCATATATTTCGCCGAAATGTGTGACAAACATATGGAGCAACCTTTCAGCATACTGCCAGTGCATTGAGGACAAGGTTGGGCTGACTAAAATGGCAATGCTGGAAAACAGCAGCATACATTTTTTGTAAATATTTGTATCCAAGTATGAAGGCAGAATGACAGGTCCAATGTACAACAAAAACATCCTAAATTCCGTTGCCTTCCACCTGTCAATGTCCCTCAATGTCCTGGGTTTTCTTGCAAATTCTAAAGGAATATGGTTGCGCAACCCTGTCAAACAGTCAGACATCCGGTCAACAATCGAAGCAGGTAAATGGAATCTGAGAGCTCCTCTCAGCCAAATGTTCAGAAGCTTTCTAATGACACCTAAACAAACAGAATGCATGTAATCCCCTGGAAACTGAGATACCATCCCTACGTTCAACCCCTGGAATGGGTTAGGGCCCTGGTGATGCTCTTCATTATGTTTTTGGGCAAATGATTCATCTGTCCTGAGTGGGCCTGAGACTAAGGGAAAAGTCATTCTGCCAGATAGATACTCTCCTTTCTGGGAACATTTATCACATCCAAAATATCCATTGTGACTCTTAATGTTTTTTATAAAAGCCCGGGCAGGCATATCACAAATGACAGAATCTAACTTAACAAAAATCCTTTTGCCTTCAAAGTCAATTCCACTCTTCAACTCTTTCAACTCAGAAGCAAAATCTTCCAAAAAGACTTCCGTTGGCTTTGGTTTTTGTGGTCCACAAAACAATGCAATGACAACAGCTTCTTTGACTGGAAAACGTATTAAACATCCTAAAATTGGCCACACTTGAATCCCGCTTCTCTTGAATAAGGGCAATCCATCGATATTGACTTGGAGTTTTAGTGGGCAGCCATCTGCAAATGACTCAAATGCCTGTCGTAGCTTCTGCTTAAGGGAGGACAGGATACCAATATAGTAATAGAGTCCTTGACATTTTGTTTCTATACTATACGTGATTCTGGTCTTAAGGAGGGTTCTAGCACCCTTTGGCAGGTCAGGGTGATGGAGTCTCAGCAGGCCAAGAAGAGCTGTAAGAGCCACCAGGGAAACTCCAAAAGTTAACGCCCAGTTACGTAGACTATCACCAAGGTTACAAGACTGATCTGTTTCATCAGAATCTTGGTCTGAGTAAGACTCCTCCTCAGATCCAGGCAGATCCATCCTAAAGGACTGCTCCTGTAATGTGTCCTCCTCTCCAAAATCCTCCTCCATCATCTGTTCATTGAATTCATTGATTTCATTCCTCTCTCTCCTCCATGTCACCCTGCATATTCTCCAAGACTGTCTCTACTACACTTTCCCTACATCCAGGCTGTCCTTCCACTACATTTTCCCCACTACAAAACTGGGAAGCAAAGCTTTCGCTGTGCAAATCCCTAATTTGTTGAAGCCGTCTCTGTACTTCTTGACGCGCTCTCCATCTAATGGCGGCCCCAGAGAGGAGTGTTTCTTTCGAATCCATCCCTGGCAAGCTGTTAAAATTTGCAGGGGAAGAAAAATCCTTAATCAAATGTCCGCGTGTGGTGGAGACCATGGGTCAAGTGCAAAAACATTGAAAATAACAGACAACTTACACTGCAGTTTGCAAAGGGGCAGGAGCCAGACAAAACCTAAAGGGCACAGTACAGAGAAATGAGAGACATTAATTTTTATCTACACAAAAGATACAGCAGATACACACATACAGGACATTTACTGACTATAACTGATGTTGTGACAAGTTCTCGGTGCAATAACAGACATTTAGCAGTGAGCCTCAGTGTTGTTTAATATACAATAGGAGATGATACTAGTATGTTACACTGGACCTGCCCTTATATCTTCAGTAATACCAGTACTGCAGTAACGCTAAATAAATGGATCAGGAAACTTTTATTAGTCGGTTTGACTCCACATAAAGCCTAGTGAGCATCAAAGTTACACAATATTACTAAACTAATGAATCCCTGCAGTTTGACTATTTCTCTCTCACAGTAGCTCTATCGTTAACTCCGGTGCACGTAGATCAAGTTAATTTACACACTGTAACACACACACACCATAACACACACACACACACACACACACACACACACACACCAACGAGGCTAGCCCCAGCTGGTTAGCACGTTAGCAAGTTACACAAACAGAAAATAATCAGCATAACTCACTCCCGGTGATTTGGTAGCTTCTAACGAGGGTTAACGATCACAGTATTACAACATAAAGTCCGACAGACT